TATATTCACATAAATTTGATTTTATCATGACCTAAAATTTCGGTTTTTTTATTTTGGAATTTTTTTTTTCAAAATATCATTCTTCAAAAATACTACTTTTTCTGTTCATTTACTCTTTTTTTTTTTTTNTNTTTCTAAGAAAATTCCTAAATGTTTTTCCAATATTTCATAAACAATTTGTAAGTATAACATTTGGGCTTTATAGTGGCATATAAAACGTAGTTGTATGGGCTAATTCATTAATGGGCTTATAGTCAAATGTTGATCGTAATCCAGCTGTCAGTGAAATGAGCGGGAACATTTGTTGTACAAACAACTCAAAACAAATGTCACACGAACGCACGTGCCATTTTCCCGCCTGTTCTCCATTTCCCCCAAATCTCAAATTCGCAATCCCTAGTTTCTCTCTCACTCCCAGATTTGCATCATTTGCAATGTCGGGAAACTCAGTACGGCGTCAACTCTGGAGTTCGAAACCCGTCGGAGATCTTCTAGCTCTTGCTCTCACCAATTCAGACGACGACGACGAGCGTTTCTATCGCCGGCAAGCTTTGGAATTATGTCGTCTCTTACTCTCAGTTGGTCATCCAGAACCAGTGACAGATCTTTCTTCGCGGTTTACACACCTCCAAGCTTCTCCTGAGCTCGTGAGATTTCTTTGCTCGATCCCTAATTCGCCTATTTCCCTCGCCGGAGACGGATTCTTCGTGACTCTCTCGTGCGAGTTTCTCTCCGCTCCGGCTAGTTTCGCTTGTAGTTTGGGAGTGCCGGAAAATGCTTTGTTTGAACAGATTTCGCATTTTGTGGATTTTATTTCTCCAAAGGCAAAGCGAAATGGTCTAGGGATTATGAGAGGTACTATGCTTGCTTTTTTTTATAGTCACACTTGCATAGAGATTATTCACTTATCGGTTTTGGGTTATTTATGGAAAACATTTCAGAAACTGAGGAACAAGAGGAGCTACAGCTTATGCCATTGCCTAAAAGAAGCAGGAAGGATGATGGAAATGTAAGTAATCTCTTAATAAAAATGGTATAGTTTAGTTTTCTAAGAATGGGGAAATGATTTTGTGTTATTGATTTTTTTGGTTTTGTTTCTAGGTGAATTGTTCTGTAATGGATAGTAGAGTTAACGACATCACAACTATTGCCAATGGATCCATGCTTGAAACTATTAAAGCTTTTGAATCACAAGCTTCGCTTTTAGTTTTAAGTACGGATAGTCGAGAGCAAGGGGTATTTGACCATAATCCTTCGTCTGTTTCTCGGACTCGGATTTTTGGTTGTGATATTTTCTCCAACGGTTCAGTGGATGTTGATCCTGTGCATTGTTTGGGGGAAAGCAAGCAAGATTTGCCATCTCCTCGAGAGGTTGGACATTGTGAGCAACTTGAGATTGGAGATTTTCGATTTGGTGACGATGAGGATAGAAACGGGAAGGATCTGTTCCCTAAGGGGGAAATACAAACTACCTATGTGCAGTCTGATCCTTCAATGCCATCAGAAAATGAGTTAAGATCAGTGTACATTGTGGAAGACACTGAGGAATTGCTTGTGAGTTGTAACCCATTAAAGCAAGAGGTCCACCCTGTAGATGTCTTCAGCACCCCTGTCTGTGAGCTGCCGTTGCTGCCCTCTGCTACAACAGCGAATCAAGATAGACCTTTGGTGCAGAAAACTCAAGATCTGTACAAATCGTCGGGAAACAGCAAAGCGTTCAGAATTTCACCTGAGAAAAAACAAACTAGAAAAAGTAAAGCTACCCAGAAGTCAAAGCAGAATTTTAACTCCGTTCCACCTAAAGAACAGAAGGTAGACATGTCTATTTCATCTAGGGTGATACCATTACAATTCAACTTTTTATTGATAAATACCTTCCCATGTTGCTGCTGATGAAAATTTGCACCGAATTTTAGCATTAATGCTCTATATTAAAAGTTCTCATATTTGTGTTCAGGATCAGGAGAAAGAGAAGACGTTTCCAGATTTTGATTCTTACACCATCATAGAGGAAGAAGGTTCAGGTAATTCTTTCGTGACTATTTCATCAACCCGTTCTGTTGAAACATCTTAACTGGTTACTGGCTAATCATTCTTGATATCCAACTGCAGGGGGCTACGGGATTGTTTATAAAGCGAAAAGGAAAACTGATGGAACAGAGTTTGCCATTAAATGTATGGTAACAAAATGATAATGTTGCTAGATTTTGTCACTGCATTACAATGTTTTTAGTTGGAAAACTTGCCTCATGTGTTTTCTACACAGGTCCCCATGCGGGTGCTCAGAAATACTATGTTAATAATGAACTCAGAATGCTGGAGCGTTTTGGGTAAGTAACTAAGTATGATCCGGTAATGAACCTCTCACATTTTTAAACCTAAAGATCTGAAATTTCTTAAATGTTGGTTCACTTAGGGGGAAAAACTTTATAATTAAGTATGAAGGCTGTCTGAAGAATGGAGATTCCGATTGCATCATCCTTGAGCACCTTGAACATGACAGACCTGATTTATTGAAGAGGGAAATAGACGTGTATCAGTTACAGTTGTACGGCTACTGCATGTTCAAAGCTCTGTCAAGCCTTCATAAGCAGGTGCAGATTTAGGACTGAAATTTTTGCGCATTCATATTTCAATAATACAAGTCTTAACCAGTTATATTGTGTTTCTTCTGCAAATGTGAAGGGTGTTGTTCACAGGGATGTTAAGCCAGGCAACTTCCTTTTCTCTAGGAAGACCAACAAAGGCTACCTCATTGATTTTAACCTCGCAATGGTTAGCAATTCTTTGTCACCCTTCTCTTGTTCATACTTTCTTAGCAACGGTTTATTGGTTAGTGTTTCTTACAATTGAATTTGAGGTTATGAACCTGCTTAGTCAATACTATGGTCAGTGTCTGACGTAGGCACTGAAAGGCTCGAGCTAACACAAACGTTTGTATTCATATTTATGTGTTACCACCCACTGATATGAATCTCGTTTTTTCCGGTATGGCTTAACTAGGATTTGCACCAGAAGTACAGGAGAACCGGTAAACTTCGCCTCTCGTGTATTTGGGGTGTACTTAGGTAAAGAATAGGAAGCTTAAGCTACTCTTGCTTGTTCTGTAGGTAAATCGAAAGCAGCTACAGATCTTTCAACCGCCAGCAAGAAGCATCATACATTGGTTAAATCACATGAAGTGACAAACCGAGTGACCAACAAATCTTCTCAGACAGCTTTAGCGCCTAATAGTCTTAAGAAAGCAGCGGGAAAAATAAGAGGTCGGACTGACATGAGCAGATGGGATCGATTCAATAGTCAAGGGGCTGAAGGGTCAGGCTTAACTTCAGCCAAAGATGTGACCAGCACAAGGAACAACCCTTCAGGTGAAAAGAGGAGAGAGCCTTTGCCTTGCCATGGAAGGAGAGAGCTTTTAAACTTTCTGCAGGAGACAATGTCTGGTCCAAATCCAAACCATGAAGCATCATCCAAAGCTCCTACATCTATCCGAAAACGTGTTGCTGCTCTTCCAGGGAAATCAGAGAAGGAGCTTCTTTATCTGACCCCAATGCCTCTCCGGTCTAACGGTCGTCCTGAAGCAGGTGCATTTCTGGTGTAATCATTGACTCTTGTTTTTGTTTCAGAGTTTGATTTAAAACTAAGATTTTTTTTTTATAACTTTACTAGGGGATGTAATCCAGAAGAAAGATGGTCCTTGCTCAGGAACCAAAGGCTTCCGAGCTCCAGAGGTAAATCCCACTGTAACAATCACTCACTTCACTTAAGCTTTGCATATCTATTAAAGAATGCTAGTGGGTTTAGGCTTCCGAGTTACTAAAATTCATAGATGACATAAATCTTGTACATTGAGACTAACAATGCTACCCTGAGTATTTATCGGAACATTTAAGTTGGAAAACTAATTCTCTAGGCCTGTTTCTTGGCTTAATTGGCTTTTGTAGGTTTGTTTAAAATCATTGCACCAAGGACCTAAGATAGACGTTTGGTCTGCAGGAGTTACTTTATTATACTTAATGATGGGAAGAACACCTTTCACTGGTGACCCTGAACAGTTAAGATTTGTACTTAATTGAATCTGCCATCACTTGATTCCATTCTTTTCTCTTTCTTGCCTTCTTACAACGTCCTCGTGACTCTCAGGAACATTAAGGACATTGCGCAACTACGAGGCAGTGAAGAATTATGGGAAGTCGCCAAGCTGCACGATCGCGAATCATCTTTCCCTGAGGTATTACTCTCATCTTATTTTCCCTATAGATATGGCTAATACACATGCTCTGTTCTTCTTTACCGCCAACCTTTTTTTGGATTCAAATATCAAATAAAACGGTTTTTCATTTTTAGCGTTTTGCGTACTATTGCCTGGACCGCACTCCCAAAACGTGATATATTTTATAATGTACATTACATTATCTGTATAGATGATTGCGAGGGATGATGACATGTAGACTTTTGTGTTGTTGTTACAGGAACTGTACGAGCCAAGATATTTAAAGGGAATGGATTTGAGAAAATGGTTCGAACTCAACTCAAAACGCAGAGAGTTTCTAGACGCGGTTCCACGGTCGCTTCTCGACCTCGTTGATAAGTGTTTGACCGTTAACCCGAGGCTACGAATCAGTGCAGGGGATGCTCTCAAGCACGACTTCTTCTTTTCAATTCATGAAACCCTTAGAAAACAAAGGCTCGTTAAGCCGCAAACGCAATCGCAGCAGCCTTCACTGGTTGCTAACGCAGTAGGCCAAACGCCAAACTAATCTTACAAAATGTACAAGTAAATAACTAAAACAGTTTATACTTAAATCTT